ATATCTTAATGGAGAGCGAAAAGCAAAACAACCCAGATTCAAAAAGCTACAGGAAAAGGAACAATTGTAAATAATTATCGCCTATTACATGTTTGCCTTTGATGCGGACAATTCTCTGAGGAAATCACCGCTCATTTGAAAGCCCAGATCTTCTACCTGAAGTATATAATTCAGACTGACAAGAGAAGCAAATGATGATTTATTGATGAAATAAATTTAAAAGACAAAGAAAGAAAAACCTTGCAATGTCAAAGACATGACATCCTCACTCTCAACATCTGAATGTATATTGTTGAAAGAAGAGTGTCGATCCAAAAGAAATACCTCCTATTTTATTATGTTGGCCAATGACGGCAGAGATGGGTGGTAATGGGATTGCAGAAGGGACTGAACGTTCCCGCGACTAAACCTGAATTTTTCTTGCCTTATTACAGATTGAAGTCTACTAAAATCGTATCTGACAAAGAATTCCTGTATGCGTAAAATAAATTGCAGCTATTTCCATTCACCAACGCTTGCTAAATAATTACGGAGACCAAACAGTGGATTTGAGCACATTTAAGTGCTAGAGAATGCATTTCAGCAGTGGCAATATTGATGATTGTGATAAGCCACATTAATTATATGACATGTAACGTTTTGTTTCTCGCTGGTGGGAATGGATAATCAATGGAAGTAGCTTTGACAGGGCGACTATCTCGATCAAGATTGTACGAAATTATAAATAATGTTTCATCTCTGTAGCGAATGAAGCAGTTATACTAAGTAAATGAAAGTGAGTAAAGACAATTCCGAAAACTATAATGGAAAAAGAATCCAAATGAAATAGTTAATTAGAACGTATAAAAACGTTTGATTAAGGTCTCAGATTGAATTTGGTGACAATCGAAATCTGTATTCCTAATTTAAAAATGCGTACGTGACATAATCTTCGAGAGAGCAAAAATGAACTGAATATTTTCCTATTCATCTAAAATACTTTTATTTATTGCTCATCCCTACTTCGGAAAATGAAAAGATCTATTTAGAGATTTATCTAACAGTTCCTAGCTAACAAACTATAGGCAACTAGACTATGTCCACAGAAAAATTAATTCCCGCAATTATTAGAAGAGTCACCCCATTGAGTCACCGTCTTCTCTCTGGGCCGTTCGTATGGAACTAATTTTCGCCGAAGCCAGAAAAACGGAATTAAAAAGGATAAAACTAACTTAAAAGAAGGAACGAAGACGAAAGAAGAAATCACTACTATTGATTGAATGACCGTTCATAGTTAAAAGCCTAAATGATAAGAAGTTCTTGTGAGAGTCTATTGTCCTCTCCAACTACAAACAAAAAATCCGAACAGTCTTGTAATTTTAATTTTCTCAGCTAAAAGAATTGCCATAGCCTTGCCGGATATTTAATTAAGGTAAATATAACTCGAGTGACAATGCTGTTAGTAAGGAATGCCTCGAAACCATATGACCTGTCTTGTCGCCGGTTCTATAGCAACTATCTTCATTTGCCTATTTTAGTACTTTTCAAAAGAAGTAAATATGTATATATACTAGTAGTGACTCGTTTTGTTCAATGCAAGAAACACTGATTGGAGATCCTTCAAATTATCCATGATTTGCCTTATATATTAATCGTTTCTTCCACGGACTCCTAATCTTTTAACTATTTCGTAATGAACATACATTTCTATGATAGACAAACAACTATTCATAATACATAGATATTTATGTATATTTACAAATAAACTATTGACTTTTAAACAACTACAGTGACTTAACAGATATGCCGATCAAAATTTAGACATTTATTCTTCTAGATTTTTTTGACATAAAGTCTTTGAAATATTTGGTAGAGCGTCCGACAGCTTGGCGGTTTGTGACCTAAGCTCTGACACTATGTGACATTAGCAGATCGAAAGAAGGCGGGAAACAGGATTTCGCAGGAGTTCTTCAATCCGCTTATGGTCGACTGCACGACATTTGAACTCGGAAAACGTTCCTGAAAATCCCTCATGTCGTGGTCTCTGATGTAACTGCTCGGGTTTTGGACTTCTTGTTTCCGGAAACAACTTTTCCTTTACAAACTATTTTCCTTATCCTTCTTTTCATTTTTTATTGTCTCCTCTCTCTTTTAATTTCCTCACCTTTTACTTTTCTTCTTATTCGTCTCTTTTTTCGTTGCTTTTTCCTTTCCGTTATCAGATTTTGATTAAATTCTATGCATTATTATTTTTTTTTATCAGGTTTCTTGCATTTATTCCTCCTTTTCTTTGTCGTTTCCTTCTTCCCTTGCATTCTCATTTCTTTCTTCAATTTTTTATTTTGTCTTCTCTTTTCCGCCTTTACCTTATTTTTCATCTTCTACATTACTTAATCTTTTATTACTTGTTTCTTTATCCTGTTTGCTAAAGGATCTTCTCGCATGAAGGACGAATGGAGCAAGGCGTTGCTACGAGGAATCAAATTCTGGTATTTATAGTGCCATCTTTTTCTGCTTCATA